GAGGAGTCCTTGGTTTTTTAACAGTAGGAAGTTGTTATTGGTCAGGGGAAAAAAAAAGCAAAATTATAGTGAAGAGAGTCTTTACCTAAACTTTTAACCCTTTGGAATTTGTGGCCATATGTTTTCCTGCAAATTTGAAATATATAAAAATCATAGTACTAAGCTGTCCAGAATACAAGTTCAACAGAAACGAATATCAAAGCCATAATGTTTTGTTCTAATTTTAGAAATCTGACTCCTGTCATCTCTGCACTATCTTCCTTTTCTACTCTATTTAATGAGCTAGAGAACTACACAAAGGCTTGAATGGCCAAACAAAAAAACAAAACAAAAAGCCCCACAGGGTTTTCTAAGAGATTAGCTGTTACTGTGAGGCTGCATTAACTACGACACCTTCTTTATTATACAAGTAACCTTGCTCAAGGCCTTGGTCCATATCACCTGTGCCTTCTTTATGCTCAACCACCTCTGAAATTGTAAACAACTCTTAGTGAGCCTTGTCACCTGGGCTCTGAGTCATACTGAATTTTGTATTGTTTAAGAATGACCACCATTTCTAAGATGTTTTGGGTATGTTACTACATGAAAATGTAGGGCTTGTTATATAACAAATTCATTTTTCTTTCTACAGATATTATGTGAGGGCTTCAGAATTCTAAATGTTTCCAGGATTTTTCCTATTTTCTTACAAGGACAAACATTTTCAAAATTATTGAGTATTATTTGTAACTTTAAAATCCCATCAGGCTTTGCATTTCAAAACCTTTTAAACCACTGAAGGCTGTAATTTAATTTAATGATGAAAAGAACAGAGTTAATTCTCATTCACATACAGCGAGTGAACAGTTGGCAGTAATTTCAACATCTGCTTTTAATTCACTTAAATGTGTTGAGAAAACAGTGATTAAAAGGGCCGGAAACCATAATATTTTTCCATTATCCTACCAGTAGTTATCTTTGCTAATTAAAGTTGACTCTTTAATACGTTATATAGATGGAGCCAGATAAACATTTGGATAGAGATCCACAGATTTTTGAGTTTAGGATGTATAATGTCAGCGCCTAGTTCATCATTTCTTCATTCCAAATTTGTTCCCCAATATTCAAGGCAAAAGGCTCTTATTGCAGTTGAGGCAATTCTGGATGGAATACAAAAATGAAAGGAGCAACTAATAGCACCTAGAGTCACCAATAGAAATCTTGTAATTAAAGAGAAGGACAATTAAAGAGAAGAACACACCGGCAGATTATCTCATAATGAAATTTCTCACTTTTGTAAAGGGTTTTTGATTTTTGTTGTTGTTGTTTGCTGCAAGCAGAGGCCAACCACTCAAATGCCATAAATATATAACAACATAAATATTTTACAATCCAGGTAAATGGGTGGATCTTGAGTATTTTTAAAGCACAAAAAATATTCAGAAAGCCACATCTATAAAAACTGAAGACAAATAGAAAATGATCTGTGGTTATTTCAACATCTTTGTCATCTTTGGAAGACAGGTATGTTGGAGGAAAATGCAAACAAACCAGATTTAGAGTAAAAGGAAGGGCTAAGATCAGCAGATTTAGCAACCTTAAAGACCTACATTACCTCAGCATCCTGGGCACCAACGGATCCAGGTGTTTTGTTTGTGTCTTTTCCAAAGACAAGCAAGCTGTGGAAAATGCCCAGGCAGAACAGAAGATAAACAAAAAGGAACTCTGGGCAGGGAATGGAGGGGGTGATGGGGGGCAGGGGAGGGAGGGAAGCGAAGGAAGGGGTGACATTGTCCAGAAAGAAATATACTCATTACCTGACTTATGGAATGGCAACCCCTCTGTACAACGCTTTAATAATAACAATAACATTATATTTTAAAATAATAAAAAATGTTTTAAAAAAGAAAGGCTATGAGCAGGAGACTTACCTACATCAAGTAGTAGCTCAGCAGCCTGGACATTAACAACTAAACATAAAGATCATAGTGAGCCAGTGGAACCTGTTCAAGAAACAAAAAATCGCAGGCATACGCACTTCCTAGCACTTGACTTCACAGAGAGATTCTTAGAATTATCATTGGAGGAGAGAGGATGTCGCCATGAATATCATGATCTCAAACATGAATATCATGATCTCAAACATGAATATCATGATCTCAAACTGAATACTGAAAACAGAATAGGGAGAAGAACCAAAGATACAAATACCCTTGAAGATATCAACAAAAATTACAGGTGAGATCTCCTAGTATACATTAATATGCTATTGACCCTATCTAAGTCTGGATATGTAAATTGCAAAGACCAATGCAAAATGTTCCAAAATTATTAAGAATTTCGTGGTGGCAACAACAAAGCAGTAGAGCAAACACATGGCTTGTGTAAACATGGGATTTTCCGATATTGAAAAGGTAGCATGCCTGAAAAACTGGCTCTGAATCTATTAAAAGAGAATAGAAATTTTGACCTTTTGCAGAATTAAAAACAACTTGAAAATGTCAAGTGACATAGATGTACACATAAAGACATCTGCATTTGACAGTACTGAGCTTTGTATTTAGGTTCCCAAGATTGGTAAACAGGCACTCTTGTCACTTAAGCCAAGCCCCCAGCTCTCAAGTGATGTAGTTTAACAGGATATTATTGCTGTTGTTGTTGGTGGTGGTGGTGGTAGTAGTGGTGGTTATGGGGCATGAACTCTGGGCCTGGGCGCTGTCCCTCAGCTCTTCAGCCCGAGGCTAGCGCTCTACCACTTGAACCACGGTACCACTTCCAGTTTTCTGGTGGTTTATTGGAAATAAGAGTTTCATGGACTTTTCTCTCCGGGCTGGCTTTGAACTGCGATCCTCAGATCTCAGCCTCCTGAGCAGCTAGGATTGATTACATGTGTGAGCCACCAGCGCCTGGCCACAATATTATTTTGACTGCATAGACTATGAAAATCACTACTGTTATTACACACAAAATTAATTTCAATTGATAATTAGAATCATCTTAACTAATGAACACCTTAAGCCTTTTTCTTTTTATTATTTTTTTGAGAAGCATCTGAAAATCTGCTGGCAATAACTGTGAAGGAATTTGGCGGAGGTTCTGAGTTTTGGATGACAAATTGACCTATAGTCACATACTTTATTCTTACCAATCATGAGCATCAAAAGCTTTATTTCATGTAAAAAGCAATTTTCCTTATGAAGAACTGAACATCAAACAGGGACCATGGATTTTGCAGTGACATTTTTTAGCTAATAAACATTTTTATTGTTATTATAAAGATGATATGCAAACAATCTTTAAGTCTTAAAGTCTCAAAGATTTTAAATAGCAAAGTATAGATTCCATATAGTATATCTATGTAGCCACTTCTTAATAAATACAACATTGAATATTTAAGCCCTTATCATAGACAATGTCTATAGTCTCAGCTACTAGGGAGGCTGAGGCAAGAAGATTGAGCCCAGAATTGATGCCAGCCTGGAATCAAGGCCAGCCTGAGTTTCATACCTCTAAGAAAAAATTGTTTTTACTTGACTATTTTCTTCCCACTCAAATCCTATTCCCAAATCTTCTATATATCAACCCCATATTTTAGCACATTATGTATCTTACACCAAATACAAATGGCATCATCTGTTCGGAATTGTTTTGCTTAGCTCATCGTTTGGGATGGTGGGGTGTCACGTAGGAATAAGGACACCAACTTGAAAGGAACTCAGAAAGGCAATTTACTTCTGCAGAAGGGTGTGTCATCAGCCCCAAACCTGGCAAGTGAGCAGCAGGTCCTGCCCCTCTGCTCACATTGGTTGAGCTCAAGTTCACTATTAGCAAAAGGATATGGTTTAGTTAGCAGGATGTAACCAAAATCCAATGAGCTTCTAATAGAGATGTTTTAATTCAGGTGCAGCAGGGAAAGGATATAACCAAAGTGTAATTAACAAGAGCCAAAGCACCTTGCTAAAGCAGGAACTTTTTAGAAAGCAGTTCTCACAGGATTGACAGGAAGGAAGCAAACTACTTGGATAGATAAACTACAGTAACACCAAAATTTTCATATTTATCCCATTATGAAGTAGGACTGTCCTACTTCTGCTTCTGAATTTTGAATTTGGACTTGATCTTTCAGGGTGTTAGAAGACTGTGTGAACTCAGGGTGCTGACTCTGAGATTTGTGCTTAAGGCTAACACTTTACCACTTGAGCTGCAGCTCTACTTCCTGCTTTTTGATAGTTAATTAGAGATAAAACTCTCAACAGACTTTCTGCTGGGGCTGACTTCAAACTGTGATCCTCAGATCCCAGCCTTCTGAGTTGCTGGGAATATAGGCGTGTACCACTGGCGCCAGATTTTGAAGGCATAAAAAAGGAAGTATCCTGCGATTTTCCACAATCCCCAAGACATAGTCCAACACTCAGTCAGTCATTAGCCATACAGCGACTGTCCCCCACTACGGCAGCAGTAGGGAACAGTACGGGATCCAAACAGCTCAGGGAATTTTAAAGGCCACTCACAGGTGGCTAAGATTGCACAGCTTTTGAGCAAGCAAGCTGTCTACAGAAGCAGGATCTTCAATTTCAGCACAAAGTTTGCAAACAGTTTCACAGTGTCGGCACATTTTGACCCTGCTTTTTTTTTTTTTGTCGGTCGTGGGTCTTGAACTCTGGGCCTGGGCGCTGTCCCTCAGCTCTTCAGCTCAAGGCGAGCGCTCTACCACTTGAGCCACAGCGCCACCGGTTTTCTAGTGGTTAATTGGAGATCAGAGTCTCATTGTCTTTCCTGCCCAGACGGGCTTTGGACCGCGATCCTCAGATCTCAGCTTCCGGAGTGGCTGACAGTTGTGAGCCACCGGCGCCGGGGCCTGCTTGTCTCTGATGTCCTACTTAAGCTTTTCGCCCCCTTCATCCGCCCCCCCCCCTCGCTCCGCTTCCCCCAGTTCTACAGTCTGGTTTTACGCTCCGGGTAAAAGGCTAGAACACAGTTTTCTTTCCTATTCCGTTGAGTTATAAGTATCAAATACTCAGACGTAAAGAAGATACCCCTGTGAGCATCCCTCCATTCCCCGCCCCGCCCCCAGCTCCACCGCCAGGGATCTCAGCTCTCTACGTGGGAAGGACGACGCTAAGCGGACGCCAAGCAGCGATTTCCCACGCTCACAGAGCCTCGCGCGTGAGACGCGCTTTCCTCCAATCACGCCACAGCCACTCTGCTAGCTGGGCCCCGCGGCATCCTGGGATTTGTAGTCTTTTAAAGATGAACAGCTCCCCTTAGACCACGCCTCTAGCGCCAGACACCGCCTTTTCACCCTCGGGACGTCGTGACGTCACGGCGTCGCATTCCTCCCGTTCCCTTGACCCCGCCCTGTTTCTTTCCCACTGTGGGAACCTCACTGCCCGACTTCCGAAGACCTTTTACGACGTTGGGTCTCACAGTCGTTCTCGGCGCCAGACCCACTTTCCGGCAAAGTGACGTGGACGTCAACAGCAATGGCGGAAGGAGAAGAGGTCCTGCCACTGCCGACGTCGGGCGGCGACGGCTGGTGAGTGAGAGCCTAGGATTGGCTCCCCTGGCCCCATGCTCTTCCTCCCCAGCACCCTGCGGCTCTGCGGGGCAGCGGCTGGCGCCGGCCCGGAACGGAGCCCCGGTCCCCGGCGAGGTGCGGCGTCCTGCCCCGCCCCCTGCCCGCGGGCTCCCAGCCGCCCCGCCCTCGGGGCTGTGCTGCGGGCGCCGGGGCTGGACGCGCCGGGGCTGGACGCGCCGGGAGAGGGGTGCTGTGCAGCAGCCAGGCCCCAGCCCAGCACTCCGCCTCCGTCCGCCGGGCCAGCGAGCGAGCGGAGGAGGCTGCCTTCGGGACTGGGTCGGCTGGGCACTTAGAGGAGTAGGCAGGTTGAGAAGGAAGTTCCTTGGACGTAGATCAGAGATCCTGGTATTACCATTTGAAGACTTCTTGAACTTGTCCCAGCCCTGCGACCTTTATCTGAGGGTTCAAAGATAACACCCAGAAATACCCTTCCACACTGATGATATTCCTCCTCCTTCTCCTTCTTCTCCTCCTCCTTATCCCTCCCTCCCTCCTTCCTTCCAAAAACAAACTCTCGCTTCCAACTGTTTTCTTTCCGATATTTGTCTCTGGTGTAAGTTTGCCTTATCCCTTCCTACCACTTTCCTTACAGCTTGATTTCATAGCTTTGAATGCAGTGTGGAACTTTGTTCTTGACGCTCCCAAGCCTTTGCATGCTTACCTGATTTGTTCCCGGAGTTATGGGAAGGACCTCCAGTAATCTCTTGGTAGGCATTACTCACCCAGTCTTACTAATCTTACGCTCCTACATTGAATTCGTTTCTATTCGCAGTACAGTGTCCCCTACTTCATGTGTTTATTAATACGAAATTTTTACAATTGATCTAAATGTTGACGTTATGGGCTTGTTCATATTACATGTTCATTGACACTTCTGTTTACCACAAATAAACACCAAACAATATAAAGCAGTGGTAGACCTCTACTTTAGTGTGGAAAGAAAAGAAAAATTCACCTTAACTGCCAGATATCAAACATTATATTAGTGAAGTACACTCCAAGGTGTAGGAGAAGAACTAATCATGACCTAGATATGGTTTCTTCAGTTTGGTTATATTTTACTTGGAGGACTGACAGGTACACTTTGTAATACTATAAAATTAATCTTATTCTTTGGGAGTGTGAATATTATTAAGTTCCACATGGATTCATGGGAAAAACTTCAGGGAAGCATTGGTGATTGAAATGGAACTTGAAGAAAAGGTGCAAGCTGTTCTAAAGAAATAAAATGTGAGTCATGTATATAACTTAGATTTTTTCTGATAGCCTCACCAAAAGCAAATAAAAAGAAAGTTGAAATTATTTCCAATCATCACTTTGTTTAAGCTAATATATCCAACATGTAATTTTGAACATAAAATCATTGTTAAAAAATAATTTCTGCCCAGCGCTGGTGGCTCATGACTGTAATCCTAGTTACTCAGGAGGCTGAGATCTGAGGATCGCAGTTCAAAGCCAGCCCGGGCAGGAAAGTCAGTGAAACTGATCTCCCAATTAACCATCCAGAAAGCCGGAAGTGGCAGTGCTCAAGTGGTAGAGGGCTTGCCTTGAGCTTAAGAGCTCAGGGACAGCACCAAGGCCCAGAGTTCAAGCCTCATGACTTACCCTTCCCACCCCCCAAAAAAATTCTTCCTCATTTTTAATCCAGTTCCTTGAAATCTGGTGTATATCTTACATTTAGCCTTCATTTCATTTTGGTCTAGCCACATGTCAAATGTTGACTATTGCACATGGCTGATGATTAAAATATTCATTAGGGCAGTAACAGGAATGATTTATTTATAGAGTTAATAACAAATTGCATGACTGAAGACAAGTTGCAGAAAAATAGGTCTGGGAAAATCATAGACAAGTTTTTTTGTTTTGTTTTTAACTTTATGCTGCTGGGGTTTAAAAAAGTTCTTAAGGGATTATAGAATTCCTTTTAAAAAATGAGTGTTTCATGTAATCCTAGCTGATCAGATGATTGACATCTGACTATTGAGGATGGAAGCTATTCTGGGCAGAAAAAAATGGCTCAAGTTGTAGAGTGCTAACTCTGAGTGAAAAAGCCAAGCAAGAGCACATGTCCCTGAGTTCAAGCTCTATTCTCCCCTCCCCTCCCCCAACAGAGTGATGTCAACATTGCAGAACTTTCCAGAAAGTGACATGGATGGTTATAGCATGCATACTGCAGTTTTGGAAGACAATTATATATTTCCTGTAGTCAACTGATTGAGGTGCATTTAGGCAAAATGTTTCTCAAGCTAACCTGTTTTAAGAAAGTTTTTTGATTAGGATGCTTAGGTGTATCTAGTACTAGACAAGGGACCTGGAGTGAATGGTTATTAGAGGTAGCATTTATTCTTTTCTAGGGTTATTTTTATCTTTGATGTGGCTTCCCACACCTGCTTATTTTACTTTTGTGATTGGAAGAATCTTACATACTCTGTTGGGATTTTGTTTTCCCTTTATTTTCTTGTAATTTTTCTTTTTCTGTCCTTCTCATCAGTTTACCAGGTAGGAAACTTACTAGATATAGGAAAGACCTTGGGATTGAAGCCATAGACTCAGTAAAACCTCTTTTCTTATAGTACTTAGTGAATGAATTGTTAAATAATTGTGACACTTTTAGTTTTATAAAAAGAGTAACTGTCACATTTTTAATTTTGACCAGTGGAAAGTTTTCTAAAATGTATTCTCTTACCACCTATCAAAAGCTCATCTTAATGACCAAGGATCATTCATTTTACAAATGGAAGTGTACTAGAATAAAACTAGGTCCCTGCCCTCCAGGAATTTATGATCTAGTTAGATGAGGCATGTTTTTGACAGTTGATTACTTTTGTGCTACTATAGTACAGCGTGACCCTTAGCTCTGTTTTTAGTCAGATACGGTAGATTGTTGCTATGTTGAATGAGCCTACAGTGAATTCAGTGTTTATAATTTTTCCCTGTTTTTTTTTCTGTTGTTAGTGCTATGTTCCAATTTGTTTAAACTAGATAAACTTTGTTAAAAGTCTATGTTTGGGCTGGGGACATGGATTAAGTTTTGGAGCACCTGCTGAACAAGCGTGAGGCCCTAAGTTCAAACTCCATCACCCCCTTCCCCCAAATGTATGTACATCCTTTTTTATTTTAATATTAGTGTGGCCTCAGGACCTTAAGCTTGGTCTACATCTTGAGTCATGCCCCTATTGCTTCAAGCTTTGCCCAGGGCTAGCCTTGGTCCCCAGTCCTAACTCTGCTTCCCAAGTAGCTCTCATTACAGAGGTGATCCACTATGCCTGGTTTGTATACATTCCTAATAGACTCAGGATGAGGTTTGAGAATCTTAAACACACCTGGATTCTTAGATTATTACTTTTACTAGCTCTCAATTATCTTCTAAATCAGTGATTTCCAAAACTTACATGTGCTTTGGAATTGCCTGGATTTCTTTTTAAAATGCAGATTCAGTTTCAGAAGATTTTGCGTGAGATCTGAGATTCTGTATTTCTGACTAGGTCTTCTGCTGATTTATGGACCACACTTCAGTTAGCAAGGTATGGGGTGATGTATATCTCACGATGAATACTTTATATTTTATGTTTTATTACTTATGTAATAATTTTATAATTTACACGACTTATCATTGCTCTTCAAACAGTGAACTTCTCAAGGGCAGTGCCTGATAGATAGGTGGCTCAAGAAATGTTGCGTGAATATATGCATGAATGAGTACAGACTTGAACAGCTATATGTAGTAGCATGGTAAGCTGTCATTCCATATAGAATTCCTGACTTCTATACTTTGATTTTTTTCCCTCCCTGTCTTCCTCCTTTTTGTTTTCTGTTTTGGCAGTACTGGGGTTTGAACTTACAGCCTTGCTCTTGGTGGCAGATACTTTACTGTCATATTGTGAGCTCTCAGCTTTGTGTTTTGTTTTATTGTGTTTCATGCTGGTTCTAGCACTTGAATTCAGGGCATCATGCTGAGGCACAGCTCTACTTCTAGCCTCTTGCAGGTTAGTTGGAGATAGGAGTTTCAGCAGAAGTGGCATGGTGACTCAAATGGTAGAGGGCTAGTCTGGAGCCAAAGAAGCTCAGGGACAATACCCAGGCCCAGAGTTCAAGCCCCAGGCCTAGGGGAAAAAAAGTTAACAAAAAGTTGGGTTGGGATATAGCTCAGTAGCAAAGCACTTGCCTAGCAAGTACAATATCCTGGGTTTGATCCCCAGTACAAAAAAAAAAAAAAAAAAGGAAAGGAAGGAAGGACAAAACAAAATAAAGAATTTCAGAGGTTTGTCTGCCATGCTGGCTTCAAGCCTCAATCCTCACATTTCATCTTTCTGAGGAGCTAGGATTACAAGCATGAGCCACCAGTACTCAGCTTTTATTTCAATGTTTTTGTGAGCTGTCTAACTGCTGTCGAGTGTAGTACTAATGTTTAATAGAAAACCAGGTTGATCAGAAATTCCCTAAGCTTGCTACCTTTCTGGAACTTCTATCTATCTATCTATCTATCTATCTATCTATCTATCTATCTATCTATCTATCTATCTATCTATCTACCTACCTACCTACCTACCTCCTACCTATCTATCTATCTATCTGCAGAGTTTCACTGTGTAGTTCAGGCTGACCTGGTACTATGTGTAGTCTAGGCTGGCCACAAATTTGTCACCTTCCTTTGTCAGCTCTCCAAATACTGGGACTACAGGTCTGTAACACCACATGTACCACTAAGCTTGGTGTTAATAGGTTCTTTTTTTTACATTTTGTACATTTTGTAATAGTAGCTCAAGGCCCCCACTTTACAAGTATTAAAATATGAGAAAAGATCTGCAGTGTCACTTATTGCTATTTTAGATGTGACTGGTAAGTTATTATGTTTATTATGAAAGAGAATTTTTAGGAGGTTGTTGGT